GGGGTGGGGGTCGTACATGTGAACGCTACAAGGGCTCACTTGAGCAAATCCAGGGAAGCGAGACAGACAGAACGCCCCCCACAATTGAATGTTTCCCCGACTCCCGTCCGTTCCTTACTCTCCTGTATCGTGTGGCAACGACAAGCCAATAGTACCACACTCAAGACCAAAAAAAAAAGAGATGGTCCGCCCCCCCGCACCTTTGTCACCGCCGTGAACACAGGGCCGGGCTTCTGGATGGCGTTCTCGACCCTGACGAGCTCCAGCTCTATGCTCAGGCCTCGCAGCGCCGCCGGCCTGGCCACCTCCGTTTCGAACCACGCGAGTGTCTTGGGGGGGGATTTTGCAGCCGAGGGATGACCAAGAGGAAGGAAGAGGGAGAGAGGGAGGGGTAGGGAGCAGCAACAAGCGAGTGACGAGATTTAGGTGGGGAAAACAGGAAAGGAAGGGAGACGGCTTGGGGGGGCACGAATCGCCGGCAACTAGCAGCCGAGGCAGCCGCGAAGAGGAAGGAAGAGGGGTAGACGGGGAGACAGGGAGAAAATGTAATCCAGTACACATCCAGGGGTTAGAGGACACCAAGCAACGCACGTAACGTGGACCAAAACACAAAACACAGTGCAGGAGCGGAGCTCAGGAGCAACGCCACGCTCGGAGAGAAAATTCGCCCAAACACACAAGCGCCCGCCCTTGGACGAGAATTGAAGAGCAAAGGCACATGAAAGACAACAAACACGCACACGCACACGAGGTCCACAAAATAAAAACACACCTTTCCCACAACCAAAACGCGCATATCCCCCGATAACCCGCCACTTGACCTTACCTGAAAAAAAAAAAAAAAAACAGAAAGTGGGGTAGGCATCTCTCTTCTCGTACCATCACCGACCAACTTGAAATGATATTCCACGGCTGCAGTGTTTCTAGGATCGAGGGGGTAAAAGAAGCCGTGCCACCATCAGCAGCGTCTACCGTACGGCGGAGCGCACACCTTGGCCTTTCCAGCGGCCCCGTCGAAGAAACCGTCGCCGACGTCGTAACCCACGACCGCCAGGTACCGGAACCCGCAGTCCGCCGTCCGCGCCAGGGAGGGCAGCAGGAAGCGGAAGAGGGCGAGAGAGTGCTCGTCCGGGAAGGGCACCCCGCGCGTGGTGCTTCCGGCGCACACCGCGATCAGCGGATCGCTCGTGGCCGACGGCCTGTCGTTGTTGTTGTTGTTGTCGGTGTAACGGCGGGGAAGCAGGGAGTCGGTCAAAGTTGGTGTATTGGTGTAAAAGCTCGGCGCAGACCCCGGGTTTTCCTCACGGCCCGTGTGTCTCACTCGAATCGTTTCCGTCTACATAGCCCACCCTCCCAGGCCAGCGTCTTCCAGTCCACACCACCGTCTCTCTGCCATCCTCCTACTACCATATCCTCCAACGTTACCTCGCCCTCCCACCCCTACCCGATTGGCCATCGGTCCTGTGGGAACACTGTTCCGTCCTCTCGAGGACGCGCGGTCCAACAACTACGGAATGCAAAAATATGAGTACACCCCCCTACCTCACGTCGCTTCGCGCTTGGTCTTGCGCTAGCCTGGCCCGGCTTAGTAGGGACGCGAGGTCAACGGTCTTTACAACTGACGCATGCAAAGCATGAGTACAACCCAACCCCCTCCCCCGCCATCTGCTCCAACTGCACGGCGTCTGTCTTTCTCGTCGCCGCTGTCGGCACCACCGCTCACCTCGCAGTGCAGTCCGGCA